GCGTGTATGTGTGCGTGTGTCTGTGTGTGTGTGTGCGCGCGTGTGTGCGCGCGTGTGTGCATGTGCGTGTGTCTGTGTGTGCGTGTATGTATGCATGTGTGTGTGTGTGCGCGTGTGTGCACGTGCGTGTGTCTGTGTGTGCGTGCGTGCGTGTATGTGTCTGTTTGCATGTGTGTGTGTGCGTGTGTGTGTGTGTGTGTGTGTCAGGCTCAGAGGCTGCTGTTGCAGGACGGGTCTTTAACTCACTTCACAGTGCAGAATCCCTCCAGTCTCCCCACCATCACGCTAGGCCTCCCCGCTAACACCAAGGTATCGCAGTCGCCATGTGCTTTCTTACAGTCAGTAATTCCTTACAAATATTGCGCAATATGTAATCTGAAAGGTTTTTGGAAGTAATGTCATTCTTGTGAAAAAGAAGTACATTTTAGCAAACTTTTTAAAAGGGTACTTATAACAGAGTTGCCCAAAATTTTAACATGAAGGGCCAAAGGGCATGAAGGGGCATGTTAATTGCAATTAAATAAAAATGCATTATAGTGTATTATAGTTTAAATAAATGTTTAGATAATTTTAATTACAATTAAAAATAAATATTTAGTTTATTAAATGTAATTAGCTGAAGTTTTTGACCCACCTAAGTAGGACTTAATACATCTTTATATGTAATATCATAATTACTTCTGTTGTCTTTGAAATGTGGTTAAGTTGAACTATACCGACATTTATGTAATGTAAACTCTGTCATTTCTATTAAAACTTGTGTCTCGTGTATTTAAATCTATTTGCAATTGCACATTTGTGATGATGAAGTTACAATTTAGTTCATTTAAAAGATATTAACTTTAAATGCAATATTGAATAACACACTACAGCTAAAATTATAATCAAGTACTTTGCATGTGCTTTAGTATGTTAGTCAACACATCAAAATAAGTGTACTTCTTTAAAGTGTGAAAAAAGAACATGATGATTTAAAATGTACTTTAATATAAAACTTTTATTTTGACATTGCAAAGTGTACTTTTTAAAATATTTAAGGTATACTCTCTTTAAGTACTTTTAAGTGGCCTTTCATTTCATTAATATGAAATAATCTGCAAGTACAGTTTTTTTTTTTTTACAGATACTTTTAAGATTTGAAGTTCACTACAAGTGCACATTTACTACAATTAAGCGCACTCCTTTTTCAGAAGGGATGTTCCTTTTTGAATTTACACTTAAATACCTAAAAGTTATGTTTTTGAAGAAGGTACTTTTCTATTTATAAAAATAATTATAATATCGGTCAATATAGCATTCCAGTCTTGTTGAAAATACAATACTTTAATGGATTTAAAATTGTAATGTAATGACAAAACTACATTGTTCCCGTTAAAACCAGCACAGCAGCACTGGAAGCTACACATCATCTGTACAGGGGTGTGGGCTGGCCATTTTTTGCTAACTATGCCAGGGAAAATACCACTCTGAATTTTAAAATCACCCACAAGTGAGTGAGAGCCTCAGCTAACATGCGAACAAGTCAAATAAAAGAAACAAATGTGTTACTTTCCATATAAAAGTGATGAATTAACGCACTGGTTCTCATTTAGTTTCAACATCAAGCAGTGACACAACACAGTTCCAAAACTGTTTATTGAACAAAATAGAATTTTGATGGTTTCATGCTTTTGGAACCCAATAATTCTCCACGTAAAACATTGTAGTTGGCACAATCCATTTGAACTTGTATTTAATGTCTTCTAGTACATGTTTTCGCAGTTGCTTTAATTATTGCATTTAGTATTTATTGCTCCTTCTGTCAGAACTGACCTGAGACCCATTTAGAATCACTGTAATGTACTTTTTTAAGGGTAATACATCATAAAATAAAATTCCTCATTCATGCAAGTATCATTAGCTATTTTGAGGCTGCAGTTTAACTCAGAAGCTGGTAGCGTGATGCGAGGCAGCCCATAATAAGCTCTAGTGTCTCTGCAGGTGGAGAGTGAGTTGGGTTCGCTGAAGCTGGGTCGTGTGCCGGTGCTGGTTCCTCTGGGTGTGGAAGAGCAGAGCGGACCGCTCATACAGCCCGTCCTCATCCTGGAGCCCTCTGGACTCGTACACACCCCTCTACTGGCCGGTAAGAGATCTGAACGCTGTCTGAATCACTCTGAGAGTTTGACTGTGAGGAAACGCTACTGAAGGACTATATGCTTGATATGTGCGCCATCTAGTGGCCACTGCTTGAAACAACAGTCTGGCTGTTGGGAATAACAATTATTTTCAGAATATAAACTACATTCATTCATTCATTCATTTATAATTAGTGTTTGTATTTATAGTGTGACTTTTTATATTTGTTTTACACAGCAAACAATTATGGGACATCAGAAAAACATATACACTACCATTCAAAAGTTTGGGGTCAGTATGT